GGAAGGTCCTAAAATGAGCACCCCCACTCGCCCGATCAAAGGATCGGCCCCTACTAAGCATGATATGTTGTTTTATAAACACATGTGTTCTTATTCCGATTATTAGCTAACTTTACTATGTGACGCACACAAGCAAGTATAGACTAAAATCGCAAGAATTGGAACGAATTCAATTCATGTTTGGTTTCAAAAATGGTTTGAATGTGCCACCCTCAAGTGGGCTAAAACACGGATTTGCCACCTCAAGTAGGCTTAAAACATGATTTGCCACTTCGCAAAGTGGGCTTAAAACATATATTCGTTGAATTGCTCGAATTCAAACAATAAAGCCTTCATCCACAGGCATTCATGCAGTTAATCATTCAAGCAAATAGTCTCATGGCAAGCATGCTATCATGGCAACATGGCAATCGCACTCATGCAAGTATGCTAAAGCGTAAAACTTACAGTGTACTCTAAACCAAAACAAAAGCTAGTTAGAAATATGCATGATCCTAACTATACAAAATGCCTAATGCAACACATGCGATAATGCAATAAGATAGGCTCGGCTACCTAATCATGGTATATGATACAATTTGATAACATGCTTTGAAACACATATTCAAAGAAGTATTGAATTTGACAATGCAGTTTGAATGATGCGCCGAGCCTCGGTGCATGCAAGACAAATGAATGATGTGCACATGCAAGCATAAGGTATGCTAATCAAAACATGTCCCTAATCTGACCATCGAAAGCAGATAAATAAAATGGAGAAAGACGTGGGGTTGAAAGACATGCACCCATGCACGCACACTTATTACAACATTATGCCCGCACGAAGGAGGGTCCGAATGATTAAGATAACTAGCTACGCTAATTAAGCTAACTATTACAAAATGAAACTAATTAACTACTCTAGTTAACTAATTATTACAACACAATTGAATAACTAGCTATGCTAAGCTAATTAAAATACCACACTTGAATTGAATAATTAGCTACGCTAACTAACTAAAGCAATTTAATGGCCTCGAGAGCGAGGGACGCATGCATACTCGGTTGCTCCACCCGAAAATCCATCGCCTTGCCGCCGGTTGCCTCTATTTGCACTCTTTTGATCTCGTTGGGAATGAAATGCTAGAGAGGTTGTCGATGATGATGGTGGCGAAGGCTGATGGTCATTGCGATTGAGAGAGACAGAGAAATCGCAGGTGGAAGAGAGATCTCGATCTAGCGATCGCGACTAAATGGAAGGGAGCTACAACAGCGGTGGCGAAAGGAGTCAATAATGAAGGACTGATAGAAATGAGATGCAATGAAAGAAAGAACAATTGGAAAGAAGGAAGTAGTAGTGTGAGGGAGAGAGAGGCTGGGAATGGGCAATAGCCGTGAGAGTTGAGAGAGGCTGAGAAGGGAACGACGCCGGTGAGAGGCGGTGTTTGCCGGTGATGATTAGGGTTAGGGTTTGTTAGAGAAGATGATGGTAGTTTAGTATTATAAGAAAATTATTGGTGTGTATTGAGATAAATTAAAAGTTGTAATATGTGTATGGTTTGAACTGAGTAAATGATGTATACTAAGACAAGTAAATGTATGTAAATAGAATTACCCCACTATGGTCCTTCATGTTTGCAATCCTTCCAACTTTGACCCTTTAAGTTTGATTTTTCCCACTTTAGCCCTTTATAATTGTAATCCTTTCCACTTTGGCCTTTCATGTTTGCAATCATTCCCACTTTACTCCTAAACTAACTTCCACCAAAAAAAGTAACAGAATTTGTCACATCACTAACACATTAGCTCCATATGTGATGTAAAAAATTCACTAAAGATACAAAAAAATAAAAAATAAAAAACAAAAAAAAATTAGATTTTTTTTTAGGGTCTTTAGTTTTTTAGGTCTTTAGTGATTTTTTTTTTTTTCAAATTTATTCATAAACATCAAATTTACTATCGTTTTTTTGGTCTTTAGTAAAAAAAAAATTCTTTTTTTAGTTAAATTTATTTTTATATTTTTAGTTGCATCTAATCTAGATGCCTCTATAATATAATAATGTTTATGAATAAATTTTGAAAAAAAAAAAGTTCACTAAAGACTAAAAAAAATTCTAATTTTTTTGTTTTCTATTTTTTATATTTTATATTTTTAGTGAATTTTTTACATCACACATAGAGCTGATGTGTTAGTAATGTAGTAGATTCTATTAGTTTTTTGGATGGAAGTTAGTCTAAGAATAAAGTGGAAATGATTGCAAATATGAAGGGCCCAAGTGAGATGGATTACAAACATAAAGGGCCAAAGTGAGAAAAATTAAACTTAAAAGGGCTAAAGCAAGAAATGAGTGAAATTTTAGAAGGCAATATGTATTTTACCCTAAATATATAGAAAAATGGGTAAAATGATACATATTCATAATTTTATGAGCAAAAATTACACTGACTATATATTAAAATTTGAAATAAATACAATAAATTTATAAATTTGGCATATCTACACCACCCACTGCCACTGCTATTGTCCACTATTAACCTTCGGCACCACCGATCATCACTCAGGACATCTGACGGCTTTTTCTATCACCTTACAAAACCCTGGCCATCAATTCTAATAGCCACTTTCATCGTGGGCCACACCAACTTTAGCAATTTACAAAACAAAAAATTCATTTTCTTTTGTATTTTTTATTTTTAGTGATTATTTTTTTTAGATCAGCTCAATTTAGTGATTATTTTCTTTAGATCAGCTCAATTCAACAAATACAAAAGCTATTGAATTTTTATATTTTTTGTAATTAAAGATTTTTAAAAAAATTAAAATAATTATTTGTAAAAAATCACAAATTGAAAATAAGAAGAAAAAAAGAGAGTACCAATTGAAAATTCAAATAATTATTTTTAAAAACTTTTCAAACAAAACATAACCATTTTGGATAAATTACAAATATATCTCTTAAATTTAGTTAAAATATGAATTACTTCTCGTGATTTGAAAAATTATAAACATTCCTAATTAAAAAAAATTATTTAACAGAATTAACTGGAAAAAATAAATTTCTAACTATACTCTTTTATATTACTTGAATTATTACTTGAAATATATTTCTAACATCATTAAAAATTATTAATTAATTTGATGATTTATTATTAAAATGGATAATTTCAATATATTTTTAACATTATTAAAAACTATTAATTGATTTGATAATTTATTATTAAAATGGGTAATTTGTTATGAAATTATAAATTTTAATGGACGGAATATGATGATTTATTATTAAAATTGGTCATTTGTTATGAAATTATAAATTTAAAGAAATTGGTTATAGTTTTTAAAATCACAAAGACAATCTATATTTTAAACAAATTTCATAAAATATATTTATAATTTAAAAGAATATTTTTTATTGTCTAATATTTGTCTTCTTTTTTTTTAGAATAATAGCGTTAATATATTGATATAGTTAAATTAAACTAAAAATTTGCCGCTGCTTTCACCTCCCAACTTGCCACTCACCATATCATAAAATATAACCACTCCCTCGGTCCAAAAATAATAGTTTCTTTTAGAGAATTTAACTTTTTCTAATTGTATAATTATTATATTTTTAAAAAAAATAATTTTTCAAAATTACCCTTTGATAGTACATTTTTTAGGAAATATTAATTATCATAATTATACTTTTTATGTTGTTAATGAATTTAAAATAAGGGTAAAATAAGAAATTCATATTATTTTTGTCCTTAATTTTTGAAAAAAAACTAATATTTTGAAATAATAAAAAATAAAATAAAAGACTAATATTTTAAGACGGAGAGAATAATAGAGGGAAATTCTATTTCCACACACCTAATTAGTTCAGTGCACACACTTAATGAAATATTAATTTAATGACAATTATATCCTAAATAAATATGATCATAATAGACATTCAACAACACTCGTAATACTATGTAGAAAAATTCTTTGTACATATCTTTTAAGAACAAAAAAATCTCAATATACATTTTTTGAGTTAAAAAAATAAACCATAGTTTTTCCATTGTTGGTTTTACGCTCTAAGTTTATACTGTATTGATTATATCGTTTTGTCATTAGAATCCACCATAATTCTTGATTTTTGTGATGGAAGAGTTGCAAATCAATAGAAATTCAAATTCAAATAACAATATGCCTAGTTATAACAAAAGCAGTTATGAAAATGTAAGTTTTTTGTGCATAAATTTTTTTCACGATTTTAATTCAGTAAATCAGTGCCGAAACATGTTACTTTTTTCGGATATCAACTGCCAAAATTATTAATTCTATTCAAAAATCAAGTTCCGAATTTGGATTCAGAACTTAACTTCCGAATTTAAGAATTTATTTTGGAAACCAAATTCTGAATTTTTTTACATGTTTCGGAAGTTAAAAATCGAATAAACCTTTTTCATTCAGATAACCAGTATCGAATAAGCAAAATCGAATTGCTTCAACCAAAAAAAAAAAATGAGAGTTCATAAAAAAAAAAAAATAAGAGATAGATGAAATTGTACGTCTTCAAGTTTGATACAAAACGATGTTGTTTCAAGATCTATATTGATACAAGTCAATACCAATTAATGATTTTTTTGATGTTGACTAGATTTGTTGATTGAAGGAATCAATTTGATGATGTAACTAAAAATCAAATGAGGTAATTTCTTGTATAATCTGAAGATTTATTGAGCGATTTGCTGAGAAATTTCTTGTGAAAGATGATGTGTTTTCAAGGTGGGTGAAATAAAAAATAAGTTTATATCATTGATTCTTTGTGGAACAAATAATTTAAGTAGTGTGTGTATAAAGATATTAATTTAAGATATAATTAGAACATGTAATATGTGAATTGAGAGCAAAAACATAAAATCAATTTCATAAAAATATGCATTGAGAAATTATTTACACAAAAACAAAAGAGTGAAATTTCCCAATAGACCATTGTCCACACCAACTTAAATACTAGTTGAATTGGTAGCCTAGCGATATTTTGATGATTCGAATCTTGTCTTCAAACAACAAAATATATTCCTCCCTTAAAAAAAATAACTCCCAAACAAACAGACCCCATAGATTGATCAATAATCTCTCTCTACAATCGAAATGGGAAGGTGTTTAGTCTCGTCCACACTCACTCCCCTGCGATTTTCTCAAATACCCAGATCAATTTCACTATTTAATCGCCCAAAACTCACTCTCCCATCTAGTTCTTTTGCAATTCCTCATCTGCGAAGAGGTTTCCGAGATGGGTTTTGCAAGACTCTGTCGTTCAATTCTATCCCCACAAGAACATTGTGCACCGAAGCTGTGTTATCTGAAATTCCCAATCAGAAAAAGTACTCAAAAGTTGCTGCTGAATCAACTGGCCCCATATCATCCAATCAGCTCCTCGGTGTGGTTGAAACTGCTGCTAAAACTGGTGCTGAGGTATGCCCAACTTACTTTGTTTACATTTTATGTTGTGTTTTGTGTTTAGTTGAATGGTTTTTTTTTTTGTTGGGGGGCGGGGGGGCGGGGGGGTGCTTAAATGCTTAGGAGATGAGTAGTAATTTATTCAAGTTTAGCTTGAAAATTAAATATAAGTATTAAACTTGTTTATAAAAGGAGCTGATTTCAAATGAATAGCTTAGTTTGTTTTGCTTAGTTCTATGCATGGTCAATGTGTTTGTGTGTGTTACCTACTATATGCTTGTATTCCTGTGTTCAAATAGGAAGAACCCATTTTTGTTTTGTGTTCATATCTAATCAGAAGGACCTAATTTTTGTATCTATTCATAACTACCTCCAACGTGCAGCAAATGAGCTCAAGTAGCTTAGTTTGTTTTGCTTAGTTCTATGCATGGTCAATGTGTTTGTGTGTGTTACCTACTATATGCTTGTATTCCTGTGTTAAAATAGGAAGAACCCATTTTTGTTTTGTGTTCATATCTAATCAGCAGAACCTAATTTTTGTATCTATTCATAACTACCTCCAACGTGCAGATTGACACACTCTCTCTGATTCAAAATTGGTGGAGGAATATGCTGTTTATTACCTATTTTTTAACTTGCATTTATTGAACTTAACTATTGATTCTGGCATACTGTTTTGCCCAGATGGGGAAACAAACTTTGAAAGGGAGGAAATAATCTCACACCAAGAATTGGCATTGTGATTTGTGAGTCAAGAACGCAGAATTGGGGTGAATATTGGGTTAGATTTACAAAGAGATACTTTAAGATTAAAATTACTGAATATAAGCAATAGCTAGTTTAAATCAGTACAGTGAGCTTGAGTACACGGGAAATACGAAAAGGAAACATATAAATGTGTTTTTAATCTCCCGTTTCCCATCAAAGTGACCTTTATTCTTTCAATTTTGAGTTGTATTTCTTTGATTTCTTTGCATTTACTGCTTTTCTTTTCAGGTTGTGATGGACGCTGTGAATAAGCCTCAAAATATTGTCTATAAAGGACTCACTGATTTGGTGACAGAGTAAGACCTGTTTTTCTAAGTTTTCATGTTCATGGTGTAAATGCTAGGGATAGCATAGGTTGACAATTTCATGACTTGTATGTATAACCTCCTTAGGTAGGAACCTAAGCCACTGCCAAGATGAAACACATTGGCAACTCTAGAAGCTTTGTAGAGGTTGAAGATTTATGGGAGAAGTAAAAGGAGAAGTTTCACCAGCATGAGATGACTTTTGACAAGGCGGGGACCAAGAAGACTGGAAAAACGATTTTTTAGCTTGGTCAACAATCCTAGGTAGTTTGGTCCACTAGGTGACCAGACTGCAGTCTTATGATTCCCTTCTCTATGGTGAGGAAGGGAATCACTTTTTGCAATCAAAAAAAGGAAGGGAATTCCTTTCCTTGGAAGTGTATGGAAGGCAGGGAGGCCAACTAAGGTGGCTTTTTTTAAAAAAAAAATTATTAATCTGGACAGCTGCTTTAAATTCTATTCTTACCATTGAAAATCTGGTTAAAAGAGGTTTTGGGTTTCCTAACTGGTGTTGCACGTGCTAAAGGCAGAGAAGTAAATTATTTGTTACTACATTGTGAGGTAGCTGGAGTTAAGGTATTTGATTTTGACCATTTTTGGAGTTCATGAGGTATTTGAGTTATGTTGGCCTTTTAGTTGTATGGGCATTGCGAGGGTGGATGTTGATCAAAAAGGAAGAAAAATTATGCGTGGTGATACCTTTGTGTTTGATATGGGATTTCTAGAGGCAAAGGAAACTGGTCGTTGAATAAATGAAGCTTTGACAAATAACTAATTGATTCCTTTTCTTTTGGTGTATTTGTCTACAGATAAACATGGTGGTGCACAAATTGAAAATGTCTATTGTATACTTTTCATTTTTTGGTGCAAAGGCAATTTTTGTGAATCCTCTTTTGATCTTGAAGATTTTATGGCATACACAAGAGAATTTATTTTTATTAATTTTTAAATCATCTATCAATTTTTTTTTTCATTCGTTTATTTCTTGCTCCCATTATTTTTTTGGTTTTCTTATGTGTTTTCATCTTATTTGATGCTATTAACTTGAATTTACTTGCAGCACAGATAAAATGAGTGAGGTTGCTATTCTAGAAGTTGTAACGAAGAACTTCAAAGATCACCTTATTCTTGGGGAAGAGGGAGGGCTTATTGGCAATTCATCTTCTGATTATCTTTGGTGCATAGATCCCTTAGGTTAGACTCTCTTAACCCTTTGGTAATTAAGATTATGTGTACATATTCACCAAGTTCCTCGGATGGAACTCATCTCTTGATTCTGGACTTATACTTGTCTAAACTAGTTGTGATTTGTTTAGCAATGTTACTATCGTAAAACTTTTACAGCTTGACATGATTTTAATATTGTTTGCTAGAACTTATTGATTCATTTTCAATTATATATCAGAATTCATGTGGTCAAATTAGATGACTTGCATAACCTATTTTTCTGTTCCTTTTGAAACTTACTAGGCTTCTCAAAATTCTAAGCCACTAGACTAACTTATTGGCAGTAACTTTTTGTTTCTTGTTCTCCTTTTTGGAGTGTAGGAATGCACTTCTGTTGCAGTTTTTAGATTGAATTCTGTAATCTTTGTATATGAATAAAAATTCTGGAGAGGAAATTTTAATGACTAAAAAAAATGGGAAATGAGCTGCTTTTGAAGAGCAATATATAAGGTTTCTGATTGATTTATATGTAAGAAAATCTTTTTTTTCTTCTTCCACACGCTTTCCTCCTCCCAATCCCAATCCAATCATTTCTTCGACACCCTATTTTAAAAGTTCCTAATAATTTGTCTTTTACATATTCTGTTTGATCTTATATCCATCACCTAGCATTTCTAATTTCCTATGACATTATGGACCACATTTCTAGTTTCTATTTCCCATTTCTTTTTTGATAATGAGAACTTTTCTCAATTCAAAGTGGATGGTGACACTTCATTGTTGATAATTCCTTCGTATTGAAACATGTTATCTTCTGCCAGCATTTACTTCTTATATTTGCAGCTAGTTTTCTGACGTAAAGCCATTTGCCTTTGATATCTATATAGATGGGACAACAAATTTTGCACATTGCTACCCTAGCTTTGCAGTCTCTGTGGGAGTTCTGTATAAAGGAAAGCCGGCTGCTGGTGCTGTGGTATATAATCACTTACCTTTATAGTCTCCAAAAAGAATTTGCATAATTCTGTAACGGTCCATTGGATTGAAATTTAATATGTAAATTAATACGGTCATTGAAGTTGTTATACTAAATGATGGTTTCCCTGGTTGATGTGTTAATCAGAATATAAAACATAGTTGCATAAACCTTTTCATTTTCTATATTTTTGGCATTGAACTCACCTCAACTAATACTTGAAGTAGTTCTTGTCCAATTATTTCTTCAAAGATCAAGAGTGAATGAGTTTCTCTGTTTCTGACTTGAAGGGATGACAATTGGTTTGTGTTTAAGGTAGAATTTGTTGGAGGCCCCATGTGTTGGAATACACGCACATTTTCTGCAGCTGCTGGTAAGAAGGATTTATCTTAAGCAATTATATAACAAGCTCTTTTACATACCAAATTGAAATATAAAGTTCTGTCTTAATATTTGTTACTCTTTATTCTAGGTGGGGGTGCTTTTTGTAATGGGCAAAAGATTCAAGTGAGTCACACCGATAAGGTGAGTGATCATGTTATATCTAGACTATAATTTTTTATTCAATAGGTGACCTTCAATAAAACTTTTTTTGTTGGTGGTGGATGTGGAAGAGAGACTGGTTAAGGATGTGGCCAACAACACTCTGTTTTATGGCGTCTAGACACAAGGAATTTTTCCGTGAACTTTACATACTTTCAGACCATGTGATCAGACTCCATTATGGATTTCTGAGCACATTCTTCGTAAGTCCCTCTTATCAGTTCCTTTCCCAAGCTCAGTTTATGCAAGGAAAAGGAACTGAGAAGAAGGTATTGACAACAACAGATTTTATTACAGGACAGTTCAAATGCTTGTGTATATTTCACTTCTTATCTATCTATAAAATTAATCATGTTCGTTCTACTTCTGGAAACGGATCACATTGAAAAAAGTTGTGTAAAAGTGTGGTGGTTTAGAGCTGAAAGCTGGATTTTTTTTTTCAGCTCACCTATTTTCACTTGTTTTCTTAGGTGGAGCAGTCACTTCTAGTTACTGGATTTGGGTATGAACATGACGATGCATGGAGTACCAACATAGATTTATTCAAAGAATTTACTGATGTCAGCCGGGTAATAACCATTTTCTTTCACTTGCTTTACTGATAACTTGCTTTACTTCTTACATCATAGATAGGGATGGAAGATTTTGTGTTTCAAGGTTTTGTAATCTCTCTCTCCATTTTGAGATTTATGTGTAGGGCGTGAGAAGGCTTGGTGCTGCTGCAGTGGATATGTGCCATGTAGCTTTGGGAATTGTAGAAGCATATTGGGAATATCGTCTAAAACCATGGGATATGGCTGCTGGTGTTTTGGTAACATCAATCATTTTAAGAAATATTTCTTATTTTATCTTCTAGATATCAATGAAAGAACTATATATAAAACAATGCCCAATTAATACACATTAATTCTCGGGATACTCTTTGAGTGAACTGCCCGTAATTCTCGGGATACTCTTCTAAGGAGTACAACATTGTATACCAAATAAATCAACAAAAAAGAAAAAAAGAAAATGAGGGACGAAATAAGGTACCAGAAAGTAACTTCACCACAATAGCTATCCCACTGCAAAAGCATATTCCTCTATGCCATAAAATATTTTCTGGTACCAAATATATAGCAAAACTGGCCCGCGTGTAAGGACGAAGATTCCCCATTCAAAATAATTCAAACACATTTATTTTCCCACCTTTGCTTTATGTCTATCATTCTGCAAAAATATTTTCTTTACAGCCACGCAAACCACCAGAAGAGCGACACATGTATAGCACTATCTGGCAAAGGAATCAAAAGTACTCACACCACTCACACATGGGCCCGGGTGTGACTTCCTTTTTACTACATCCATACACGTGTCCATAAGTACAACAATGGACGACTCAAATCAGCGGGAGGGGGGGCGCTGGTAATATTAATACAACGCCCCCCCAGTCACACCACTCACACCATTCACACTAGGTTTTTTAACTAATAGGGAGGCCTTGTACGACTGGTGTGAGTTCACTGTTTACCACTACAAAATGCCTCACCAAGCCTCTTTCCGTTTTTATGCCAAGAATGTTTTCCTCACTTATCCACAATGCCCATGCCCAAAAGAACAACTCCTAGAACTCCTACAATCTCTCCTCCAACTAGCCTGTCAGCCATACTACATACTTGTCGCAAGGGAGCTCCATGAAGATGGAAACCCTCACCTTCATGCCATGGTTCAATGCACGAAGAAGATCCAAACTTCAAACTCGAGATTTTTCGATCTCACTGGAACCAACGGGAGGATCTACCATCCAAATATAGAAAAACTCCACTCCCCAACAGCAAGTAGACAGTATATACAGAAAGAGGGCGAGTTCGTCGAATGGGGAGAATTTTTAGCTAAGGGGAAAAGTCTTTCGAAAAACAGAGATGAACTCTGGAGGGGAATACTTGGCGAAACAGAAACGGAGGAACAATTCTTTGCTCTCTGTAAAGAAAGATGTCCCACCGATTACGTCACAAAATACCCCCAATCAAAAACATTTTCAAGGGATCATTACAAAAGAGAGAGACCCCCATATACTAGCCCATTTAATTCATTTCCTTTCTTAAATGAAGAAGTAAAAAAATGGGCAGAAAATAATATTTTGTTTGTAAGTCGAAATTTCGTTCAGTACGAGTTATGTCAAAATTGTTGTCTCTCCGTTTGGAGGGAAGATGACTTCCTTAGATTAGGGATACACAAAAACAATATCAATAATTTATATACTGACGAAGAACTCTCCTCCTCCTCTGATAACAGGAACCAGAGCAGAGGCCCATCCGCCTAATCTCCCTCTACCTCGAAGAACCCTCAAGAACAGGCAAAACCGCCTGGGCCAGAAGCCTCGGACGACACAATTACTTCTTCGGCAGAATAAGCTTCAAGGACTACGACCAAGACGCCGACTACAACGTCATAGACATCAAATACTCGACAGTCCCTACAGAATTAATGAAGAATTTAGTAGGCTGCCAGAGAGATTTCCATGTATTTGTTAAGTTCCAACCAGATTTCACTATTAGAGGAGGAATTCCTTGTATTTTATTAACAAATGGAGACAGTAGTTGGTTAGATGCAATGGCCCTAAAAATGAGAGAATGGTTTGATGTTAATGTAACCACTGTCATGATTAATGAAAAATTTTATTAATTTTATTTATGAAACCACTCAAAATTTTATTTACTTATTACATTTCCATTATCATCAACTATTACATCTTGAGTCACATCACTATTTTTTACACTGATGATTACATTTCGTAAAACATTCGAAAATTCTGCTGCATCCATAACAACTGATCCGCTACGATCAACTTCCTCTTTGCTAACACCAACCTCTGAAATCGACGGACCAGGATCAACATCACTAGTATCATCACCACCTCTGCGTACATCAATCTCTGACAAACTCAGACGACCTCTGCGTTCATGAATAAATGAACCACTTTCCCCAAAACCTCCTAACAACAAATCTCTGCGCCTCTCCGGTAAACCAACAGACTTAGTCCGTGTCAGAATCGAAATGGCCTTCATTGGAGGGCAATGCCAAACATCAACATTATCATTAGTATATTTTTTAGATAACACAACAATAAAGGGGGCCCTCATTTGCGAATCTTCTGGCATGTCACTCGTAGAATACTTTAGATACCCCTTCATTTTACAATACGTAACCCCCCTTTTAATATTCGAATTTTCAAGTCGATACTTTACCATCCATGGCACCTGTTTGTCGTTAATTGAACAATAACCATTCCCATAATAGACTAACTCGCATTGACAATTCACTGGGAAAATAAACCACGCCTGCAAACTGTCACTACCGTCTAACCTCCGATCATAAATATTTACTCTGACCAACCCACTAGCATTGGGTGCGCAAAGGGGGGAATATTTTATCAATATTTTATCAACCTTAATTCTTTTTTGTTTGTATCTTAACCTCAATTGAGAAATAAATTAGGCAACGCAAGTTCAATACAACTGAAATCACTTGTTGAAACACCTTCAACAACCCCAGTTTTTATATCGTCCACCTCCATTAACCTGAACATTAGAAATAAAATACATAAAATTACAATTCTAAATAGTTTTAAAGTACATTTGACTCCTTAAAATAATTTTGCATTCCTTTCCACTAACAGTAGCAGCTACTAAATATATGGCACCCTTTTGAATACTTCTAACATTTCCCAACAGCGTATCTTTGTAATCCATCCAAACATCAACTGGGAAGAACTGGTCTACAACTTCTATCCCGTGACGAACGTACTCTTTGTCCTTGCCACCAACGAGCTTGAATCTCATTTTCTTTAGCATCCGAAACCGGTCGGACTGGTCAGGATCGACAATCCAGGTCTCAGGATTACCCTCCCCAACTCCAATAAATATCTTGTCAGGTGTAGGGACGGAATCTGACGGACTATTATCACTTATGATGAAAAACAATACGTGGTGGACCACAGCTTCGTCTTTAGCATCTTGTCCCAATTGAATATTCCCAATTAATTTTATATCCTTAACCACGATCTTGTCTGCTTGACGGTCACATCTCTTATTACCCAACTCAATACCATTAAGCAATCTGGCCACACCTTTATTATCAAATTTAACGTCCCTTAATTGTTCATCGTACAACTGCAACTTCCTTACTCCCCTCTTAGTCTTCTTAATATAATGCGGAATATTCTGAACGTACCGTCGGCGAATGTACGCCGCCTTAAAAGGCGCACGATCACGGTAACTCTGCTTATATCCACTGATCGCCGGTACGCAAAGGGGGTCCGATACTGGCTGCTTCCTATTCTTTCCATTTTTTATAAAGCACTCCAAATCTTTTATCCTACAAATTATGCTGATTCTCTTACCTCTGCTAACCCTTCTGTTTAGACACCTTAACTTTGATATATTTGCCCTCTGCTCCTCGTACACCGAAACAAACTTTGCCGAAGCTGACCGCCGGCTCTCTTCCCACAGCCCTATTTGCCACGTCAAAAAACGATCTACACACATTTGAGTGAACTGTCCATAATTCTCGGGATACTCTTCTAAGAAGTACAACATTGTATACCAAATAAATCAACAAAAAAGACAAAAAGAAAAGGAGGGACGAAATAAGGTACCAGAAAGCAACTTCACCACAATAGCTATCCCACTGCAAAAGCATATTCCTCTATGCCATAAAATATTTTCTGGTACCAAATAAATAGCAAAACTGGCCTGCGTGTAAGGACGAAGATTTCCCATTCAAAATAATTCAAACACATTTATTTTCCCGCCTTTGCTTTATGTCTATCATTCTGCAAAAATATTTTCTTTACAGCCACGCAAAGCACCAGAAGAGCGACACGTGTATAGCACTATCTGGCAAAGGAATCAAAAGTACTCACACCACTCACACCTGGGCCCGGGTGTGACTTCCTTTTTACTACATCCATACACGTGTGTTTGGGAGGAGAAAGTGTGAGTACACACCTAACCTTTGGCATAATGCACAAAGTGGCGGCCCAAGACTTGAATCCGTAACCTTACCTTAAGGTTATTACCCCAAGACTTCAAATCCGCCCGTGCCATTTTTCATTTTCTATGTTTTACTTCCTTTGTAATTTTACTCGGATTCCTTATGGGTGCACCGAGTTGCAATTTTACGCTTGAATTAGGAATACTATGGTAACTGTTTTAGATGACAATGTTTTTCAAGAATAGATTGAAAATCTACTAACCTAAGTTGGCTGACCAATTGCCATTTGTATTTTCTTAAAACCTGTATCTGGATGAGGCAAGTGCTTAAGAAACCTTATATTTCAAAGAATTGGTGTGTGTTTTGGCACTTGGCTCTCATGAAAATGATTAGAATTCAAGTTTTTTACTTCCAATCATTTATTGCATCTATTTTATTTACATTTCAAGCAGATAGTTGAAGAAGCTGGTGGGGTAGTTTCTTGCATGGATGGTGGAAAATATAGTGTATTTGATAGATCAGTCTTGGTATCCAATGGTGTGCTGCATGACAAGGTTAGTCTTTTCCCTTTCTTTCTTAGAGAACTTGATGTTGCATGACAAGGTTAGGTCCAAGGCTTGTAATATTGGGAGCTTTACATTATTACACATCCTAGTATCCACTCATTTTGGAGCCTTATGTGTATTTGATGATAACTGCTCTTGAAATCTATGTTTGAGATATCGTTGGACCAGCGATCCTGTCCAGTAAACCATGTCTAATGGATGATTGTAACTCCTTAACCACTTGACTACTTATAAATTGTCAAACGCTTATATTACGCTGCGAGGATTTGAACATAATTGATCGGATTGAATGTGTTACCTGAATGCGGTTAGAAATGCTAAGAAAATAGAGTATGAGAATATACTACTTTCCTATCATCCTCTTTCCAAACCACTTTGTATTGTTTGTGTATTTTGCAGCTTCTGGAGAGAATTGGCCCTCCAACAGCTAAACTGAAGAACAAAGGCATTGATTTTTCATTGTGGTTTAAGCCAGAAAACTATCACACAGATTGTTGACAGTGCCTTCTTTTTATATCTCTGCATTTATTTTGTTGTACCCAACTCTTCTTGTTTTTTGAGCAAAAGAAGAAAAAACTGAGGAAAATGTGGCTTCTTTGATTTCTTGTGTTGATAAACGATCATTATTTTGTCAAGCTATCCATTACATATAGCCAGATATTATTTTGTGGACAAATTCTATGATGTGCAACCAAACATGTGACTGTTGTTTTTCCATGTCAAAATTTGAGTTAAGACTCAATGTGGTTTCTTTAGGACCACATTATGGTAGTTGGTTACTGTTGCAAATGTTTATTTGTCCTTGTATTGGTTTTCTCTCTATTTGTGATTCAAGTCTTCTACACAAATTTGGATGATTTTGATTTTATGAGAGGATCCCCATCAAACTAGCTAAATCTTTAGCAAAAATTTTGCAAAAAAAAATTGTTTTTCTTTTTTAAAATATATAACTTTTTGCTAATTTTTTTGTCAAAATATGCTGCTCTGATAATAAGCAAGGCATGTTTCGTAAATGGTAAAGGGACACAAGGACAACGAATTGTTCACTCTCTATCTTGCATTATGGATGAAATACAATACCATGATTTGAGGATTTTCAATTGAATAATAATATACAAACAAAAATTCATAAGAAATTTTTCTATATAATTATGTGATTCATTGTAGATTTTTTCCTCAAAAACAAAATATATCCATTAAGAGACTTTTTATTTATAAAGCTGACATTAATGCATCATTCTTGTGATTTTTTATCTTTTATTTTTGTATAATTTTGTTGCATGAATAGAGTTTCCCTTTTCAATTGTTTATCTAGAGTGATTTCAGCCACAACTTTCTCCCACTCAAAGTTGTGCTTTCAGATATTAATAGAAGAATGATTTACTTGCTTCCCATTATTAATGTGGGTTTCTAGTGGTTGACAAAAGTGAGGCAGGGCTGGCTACATTTCTAAATAAGATCTTAGTACAGGCCTACATTTAGCAAAGGTACTACAGTAATAAATCTTTGTTAACAATTAAAAATAAATAAATAAAAGCAAGAGTGGTCATGCCTCACATATCAACACAACGAAAAATATGGGTTTTTAGTGGATGACAAAAATGAGGCAAGGATGGTTACATTTCCAAATAAAATCTTAATACAAGCTTACATTTAACAAAGGTACCCACAAAATCTTTGTTAGGAGTTCATAATCAGGGTTTTAAGAGGAAAAAAAAAAAAACCAGCAAGAATGGGTCTCGCCTGACAGATCAAGACACTGGAAAATATGATGCAGAGTTTGGACCATCTAACCTCACAGCCAGTGCATGGAGTTCGAAAACATCAGCAAATTTCTTCTCAATGCATGTGGTTGTGTCGGCACGTGCAGAGGGGCACAGACGGATTTTCTGAACTTCAATTTATTATGTGCCAAAGCAAGAGAGATGAATTGCAATTCTGGCAGACAACAAGAAGCTGCCCTCAATTTCAAGTCAGCCTATTAATTTTCTTGTGTAGTAGAAGCGGATTCCAAATCTTCAGCTGTCACTGGCTGATGCAGCTGCATTCATAAAAAGAGTAGTCAAAGTAAGCAGCAGATAAGAACCTAAGAATGTCTTGTATGGCATAGATGTTAGGTGAAATCTCTTGATATGATCCACAAATTAATCATCATTGAAGAAACAAGGCATTATCTCATAGGGATATGAAGTAGGGTTTTTCATAGATCCATCCTTTGTACCCACAATCAACTTTAGACATGCCCATATATATGTCGGATGGGTTTGTTGGGCAACCCAGAAATTGCCAAACACAAATTTAATCCAAATTCCAAAATCATGTTTGGTAAACAGATACAGAAAAAGGAATGAAGAAAAAATGCATTTTAAGAAGACATTTGAGAAGATCAACTTAAATCTGCCAAAACATAAGCATTTGCAAAAAGTAACTGAAACAACTTTGTTTTGGTCCCTGCCTGGACAAATTACCAAGATTGATACATGTGACCTGGTAGGCAATCTTCATAAGCAAACCTCCATACGTGATTAGAAAAGCATAATTAACACCCAGAAAAGGACTAATATTGACCTGCATATAAACCTTCACTTTTTTTGAAAATCACAAGTATTTTAGGCTCGGCAGAAAATTATTATTTAGATTAATACATATTATTGCATGCCGTTATAGTTGTTTCCAGTGTAATTTGAAGCAGCAAATTGGATATTGGCATCCAAGGCTCTCCGGATAGCAATAATTGTGGCAATAACAATAACCCCCCCTCCCCCTCTTCCCAAACAAATATTTACTTCATCCATCCTTGAACAAGTATATCAAGACATCGTCATCTAAGAATGCATAAGTTCTATTGTTTCCCTTTTTGAGCATCAACATCAAGCAAAGACTTACAGCATTTGCGACAGTCAACCAATGTAAGCATCGCAAGAAAGCATCATCATGTGAGGGAAGATTGTCGTGATTCCAAAATGTTATGCTTTGAAAATTTGCATTCATCTCCCAACAATTTGAGTTTTCTTCCCACTTATCAGAGGTCTTTCTTTTGTCAGCACTCTTCTTTCCTAACACAAAGCCTGCATAGCAATGATTATTAGTAAAAAAGAAAGGGAAAGTTTAAAGACAAACCCAAAAATTAAGATATTAAGGGCTTTCTAGGTCGTATTTGAGCCACAACCCTTGCACACAAATTTCACATTCTCATAGAACTTATGTAGCATGGACTCCTCAAAATTTGTGAAATACTCGTGTCAAACACTTGACACTTAATAAGGGTATGGGATATGAGACCAATATGCCTAGTTGAACAGACACCCAATAAGTATCTATAACTATAAGTAATCTAGTTTACTATAATTATGCATAAGAGTCCCATTGTCTACTATACATAAAATGCTTTATTTAAAAAGTTATAAAATTTAGCCATCTGGTCATGTCCTTGACATGAGAATTAAATAAATCCAACAGTTAAACACATACTTGCACAAAATACAGACCCGAGCCCATGTAACCTACATATGTGCAAAAAAGATTGGGGGTGAATGTTTGTGCATGTTTACATGTCACGTGTAAAGCAATGAAAACAACAAAACCAAACCCCATCAAAATCCAACTAAGCAATTGAAATATGTATTTCATAATCTACATAAATGGTGAGGTGCTGCACATTTGTACATGGAAATGTCAAAAGAAAATTTTTTTAAAAAAAAGGTTTATGAGGACTAGGCAATCTAGTACTCTAATTAAAAGCAAAGAGCCCTGTATTGACTACTTAAATGCACTTTCTTTGAACCCCCTATTCTCCCACACTACATCATCTTTGAAACCCCATGTTTTGCACACAAATTGCGTGAATCCTCCACCCCTACTAAGCTTTTTTTTATTATTATTATTATTATAAATAAGAGGTAACTTTATTAGAAAAAGAGCATCAAGATGATAAATCCGGCACAAAAATTTAGAAAACCTAGAGCTTCATCTAGACAAATAAAGAATCAACAAAATGTAGAAAAGAAAATAAATCCGGCTCCACTCTCCCCGACACCCAACTCAATAAAACCAACAAAATCTTATTCTTCAAACACTGCACAGAAACTTGTAACCTACAGAATGACCACTACTTACTGAATTATGATTCTATTTGCAATGTATTTTTCATTGAATTAAACGGGAGAATAAACATTCTGATCAAATGTAGAACACAACTGAGTTTTTTTGACAATGAGAGGAAAACAAAGAAAAGGAACAACAATGACTCACCAGAATAGCCTTGGGGAAGAGGAAGAGTGGTGCCTTGCAACTTCCTTCCCCTGAAGTAAGCTTCCTCCATTTTCAGACCCTCCACCTCCATACCTACAACAATACAACCCATATATAAACATGAATACACACACACACACACATACATATATATAGAGAGAGAGAGAGGTACCGGTGGGTTTGGGTTTGAAGTAGTGAGCAACAGAGCAAGGTCCATCGTACTTGACGCAGCAGGGGAGCTGATGGACCTGACCCGTCAGATCCACCACCGCCGTCGGATTGCCTCCACGGCTGAGGTCGATGCTTCCGACGGTGGCGATCGCCGAACCTCCATCTCCATCCATGTACCTATTCGCACTTTACAAAACTCTTTTCACTTCACAAAAAAAGCCCTAATTTTTGGGCACAGAAGTCTAACAGCCTCGCATACATTTCCTACCCTGGTGTTTGAATCACAGACCAATAAAGCCCGCCAATCTCAAATTTCATTTCATAAAATTACCACCAAAAAAATAATAACAATAACTTCTCGTTTCGCGAACGGTCATTTTAGATCAAAAAATTATTAAAAGAATTAAAAAGTAAAAAATTTATATCAAAAAGTTAAAGATTTTTTTATTTTTATTTTTTACACATTTTTTCGTAAAAAATTTAAAAGTCATCCCAAACATATTACTAGTTTTTTTTATCATATTTTAGCCAAAAAAATAAAAAGTTTGTTATTCAAAAGATAACTTAAGAATGGGGTGAATTAAGTTTTTACAATTAAAAATTAATAATACCCTACTAAAAATTATGACTAGCATAATAGATAAATATAGTTAATGAAATAAAAATAATTAAAACAAGTGTTTTAACAACTATGTCAGTTAATGATTTTAGCACAGTGAAAATGTGAAATATAGTTACATCAGTTTAAATAAAATAAAGAGATAAGGGAGAGAGAGGCAAACAAATTTATAGTGATTCGGTTTCAACTCGGCCTACGTCCACTCCTCAAGCTTCACTTGAGATTTTCTATTATGCTCTAGCTTGACGGGGGTGCTAGCAACCTCTTTTATAAATGGAACAATCCTCCACAGATTTTACATAGACTTCACAAGCCCAAACCCTTGCAAATCTTAGGTGATTCACAATCACTCTCAAGATTTCAAAAACACAGTGTTTGCAACACTTTTACAAGATGAAATGGTATTTTTGCTTTCAAAGAAAGCTTACAATAAATATCTCTCAAAGATAGATATATAAAATGAAGCTCTGATTTTTCTGTAAACCTCACACAGGAAAGATAGACTTAAAGCTATAAGGCTCAGTGTATAATTTCTGAGAATAGGTGTGAGTCATTATAGATCAAAGAATATTTTCAGATTTTTGAAATTTGTTTACATTAGAGGCTTTAGTAGATATAATGAAAATTATAGTCGTTCATAGTCGTTGTATTTATTTGAATTTATAACCGTTGTAGTCATTTGAATTTATAACTGTTGTACTTCCATCATTACCATTTGAATATTTTCCACTCCATCATTATAAATTTGAATATCTTTCACTTGAACCTTTTGACCTTTTGAACCTTTATAGCCGTTTATAGCCTTTGTACTTCCATCATTACTAATTTGAATATCTTCCACTTGAACCTTTTGGCCTGCTGATGTGCTAGGTTGTTTGAACCTTTATTTTTGGCTGTTTGAACTCCTGATTTAATCAAATATTAAATACCTTCTAACAACATTTAGGATAAAAGTTTAGATGAGAAATAATGGGATAAAATAAATTTTGATTCTATTTTTCTCTTTCAAATAAATCATCAAAATAAATTTTGGATTCTATTTTTCTCTTTCAAATAAATCATTAAAATAAATTTTGATTCTATTTTTCTCTTCCAAAAAAATTAAAAACATAATTAAATAAATCATCAAAATAAATAAGTCTAACAATCTCCCCCTTTTTGATGATGACACACAATGATGTTTTGATTTGATTTGGGAGTAAGAAAGACTCCCCCTCAAGTCATGCTCCCTGAATTCATTTCTAAATACATAGGTTAGCACATGTGTAATAAATAAGTTTTAATTGGAGACATGATATGAGACTAAGATATCAAATTATAAATACATAATTATCAGATTAGTTTTCAAATAATACCATAATTTGAAAATAATACCATAATACATAACATCATATAATTTCTCCCCCTGTGACATTATCAAAAGGAAATCATGGGTCAGAATATGGAGGAGGAGGAGAAAAATGATAGTGATAAACGGCATAAATATATATATATATATATATTAATCAACGATCAATCAACAAATATATATATTACATATACAACTCTCCCGCGTCGCTCTCGTTTTTCGCAAAATGCGGTTGTCACGCGGCCTGTCTCGATTGTCGCTCGCCTCGGCTATCTCGCCCTCCTTGTCTTCTTCTCTTCAGCCTTCTTCTAAATCACACACTCTTCCATTTTCTTCTTCACTATTCTTTTCTATATCTTCTTCACCACTCTCGTCTGTTTCTTCTTCCTCATTGAGAGACAAAAAAAACTGAACGGAAAAGGTCAAACCTCAGTCTGTTCTCTTCTATTTCTCTACAACTCTTTCGTTTACAGCTCTCACCTCTAAACCATGGCTTCCTCATCCTGTCTCCTCACTCTATTTCTGGACCTGAACGATCGCATAAGCTCTGCGGGACCGAGTGCCCCTACTCCTATTCTTCCTGTCATTCCTCTGCCTAACCTTCCTATGACGTCGATTGAGCAAATCATGGCAGCTCAATCTGACATAGAAGCCAATCATTTCACACTGACGTCCTGTATGGAAACGGTGATTGCAGTCACAAAATTAGCTCACCGATTGCAGAACAGGACGAGTGAGCTCCATCAGGTCAACGTTCAACACTCTCTGTTCCAGCGCATGTACAAGGATGCGCGAGCAGAAATAGGTGCACTGAAGGCCGAAAATAAAAAGCTTAAATGGAAGACCACTTCCATGGCCCGATTTGGAGCAACGTCGTTCTTGGCCTTTGATAGTCAGCTAGGGGTCGTCGCTCTCGACGAAAACACAGAGGCAAGGGGGTCAAGGATCACCCAAGGTGATAAAAAGAAGAAGAAAACAATGGAAGAGACGAGTAAGTGAGGTCGGCGTATAGCCAGGAAAAAAATGAAGGGTTGTTTTGTTTTTTTGTTTTTTTTTTGAAATATGTTTAGTTTAATCGGTATATGGGCGTAAAAAAATGAAGGGTGTTTTGTTTTGTTTTTTTTTTTTTTTTAATGTAAATATTTGTATATTGATTTGTTTTTATTTTTATGTTTAAGTACTGAAATATGAAATGAAAAAGCAGAAAAAAATAAGAAAATTAAGCCCAAACAAAAAATAATAATGAAAAAAAATATGTGAGGTGCAAGCTTATAAGTGTGATATCAAAAATAGAATAGAATCTGAGGGGATTTTTTTTTTAAAAAAAAATAATCTAGTTTAAATTCTTCCCCTTATTTCATTTGGCAAAATCGATAGGAGATATGATAAATGAACGCTCATAACTGAAATGTTCTCCTCAATAATATCAAATAGGATGCCAAATATTACCAATAAAGATGTCAAAATGATACCAATATGCAATCTACCAAGGATACTAATATGCAATCTAGAAGATTTAACAATCATAGCTCAAGCATTATGTAGAATACCAAATATTGCTCATAATAGGTTAAACTCAATATAATCTCATAGCACTAATGTAATTCCAAAAAATGAAGCATGTTCAAGGTATAGCAATCCATATGCTAAGAAAAATCATGAATTTTAATATATAGCACACATATAAGCAAGGCATGATTCTTAGGCAAGAGCATCATCAAAGAGTATACATTGCAAATCATATAAAGCATAATCAATCTTTTTCATATCAAAGTAATAACAGTATTAGCTCAAAGGATATAAGATAGAATTTTTACCTCAAAAGCTTAAGAGAGTATATGAGGCATAAGTTAGGTTCAAGAGATGGAAGCTTTTTAATCTTCAATTTTCTTTCATGAGGAGTTCATCTCAAAAGGGTTTAACAAGTATGTTAGCAAAATGATTTCTCCCCCTAAGTTGGTGCTACCCTTTTATAATGTGATTTGTGTAAATATAGCATTCATAGAACAATCACTATTACTCAATAAAAATACAGCACAAATCACTTCTTATCACAAACTCAAAAAGTGAAAAATAATTCAATGATCAAACAAGAGTTTGGAATGCTATTTTTCAGAATTTTCAAGTTATAGCACATAGCATAATATGCATAAGAAAATAGTGTTATGCTATTTGTTTTATTAAAAAATGATGCAACAATCTCACTTAATCACATAACATTATCAAGAGGCATTTTCATCAATTCAATCCACATACTCAAGTGTGATAAATCATTTTACTCAATGTAGAACACAACATGAATGCTATAAACAATTAATTCAACAATTTATCAATCAAAAGCATTTCATGAGATGTATACCAATATAATTCATATTCAAAAGATATTCAATAGGATAGATACAATGTCTCTACAAACGTATGATACTTCTTTTCATTTAGACATTGTTGATGGATCATAATCAATGAATTTCATAACTCATTCAAATATTCCAATGTAACGCATATAAGTATAAAATTTTCATATTGAGCATATTCTTGAGATCACAAATGTAGAATTCAAAATATAGATAGTATACATCTCAAAAACAAGCTATGACATCAAAATTGATTCTACAAAGATATGACTAAAAAAGGAATTAATATATTAGTATAAGGTCATATATAAGATATGAAAAGTATGCTCACAAAAAAATTTATCACTTCTTATCTCTTTTTCATAGCAACGAATGACATGATATAAAATGTTAATGAATACATGAATCATTCATATTCTAATAGGCATTCATCAAAATAATATAATTCTCATTTTTGAGTTCAATGAATGTTTGAAAAAAACTAGCAGAACATGACTTAGCAAACTTAGTACAATTAGGTTACATGGAAGCAATGATTAGACACAACCTATTGTACACAAATCACACCTTAAAAAATATAGAACTTTAAGCTTAAAGGTGTGTTAGGAGTCTTTTTGAGAATAGGTCTAATTAATGCACGATTTAAAATATAGCATGCGGTGTGAACGGCTTCGGCCAAAAAATATTTAGGAAAATTATTTTCGCAAAGTATTGTTCTACTCATCTCTTCTAAAGTTCTATTCTTCATTTCTGCTACACTATTTTGTTGAGGGGTTCTAGGTGCTGAAAAATTATGTCCAATACCATGCTCATCACAAAACAATTCAAATTTCTCATTTTCAAGTTCTCTACCATGGTCGGTTCGAATATTAGAAATAAGAAAGCATTTTTCATTTTGAATTCTCCGACAGAGTTTTGTGAAAGAAGAAAAGGTTTCATCTTTGTGTGCTAAAAACATAATCCATGTAAATCTTG